TCCAACTTTTTCAAATGTTATTGCTCATGCCAAATTGGAAGCTTTATAAAAAACAACTATGTATAAGCAACCCAAGTGGGATAAATTCTGGATCCTCAGCAAACTGATTGCAAATGAACTTTTAAATCAAAATCAGCAAGGCATAACTAAACAGATTTCCATAAGGTTACAATTCACCCACTTAAGAAAAATCCAATGCTTTTTAACTGTATCATTAGTAGTTTATAAAAACATAGCAAGACACAAGTTTTTATAACAGTAAGACATAAAACAAAGCCAACAGGTTAAGAATCATTTTATGCATGATTCTAAAATAAAAATGTCTAATATTTAGGAATAAAGAAGTAAATATATCCAAGAAATAAAAAATAAATTAAAAACTACATAAATAACACAGAAAAAAATGGAATTAGGGAAAAAAACTGGCAGCATATGACAAAGGGCATATCCTTTTTTATGGCAATCAATAAAAAAATATGAAAAAAGATACCAAAAAAACAGGATATATAAACCTGTAAGAATGTTTACTTTTCCTGTTTATCCATATTCTTAGTATTTTTTTTAACAAACATATTCTTTAATCAGAAAGAGCTGTCATGGAAAGGAAATATATGCAAAAAAAATTATGACATGGAAAAATGTTACTATTGTATTTTCATGCTCAAGGAAGTCACAATAGAACATGATTTCACAAGGGTGAAGGAAACTCATCCAGTTTCTGTATCAAACTTTTCACAGTAAGTTTTCTTTTTGTATGTTTCTCTAAAGAAAACAATCTTCTTTTCTTAAACTGAAGAAAACAATCCAAATGTCATTATGAATTCCTATGATTCTATGTGTAAAAGGAAGCTTAGCTTAAAATTTGTGGAATGATTCCAGCTTTTAAATATAAAGAAAACAGGAATATAATGAACATCAGCTTGCTCTGGTGTGTAGGATTTGGGCTTTCACTTTTCACTTCACTAGACTTCTGAAATGTAAGACTGATACATCCCTTCATATACTTAGAAATTACAAAAATCTGAAAAAAATTAATAGGATCCTTAGAAAATTCATTAACAAACATAAAAATGGTTTTCAGACAACTAATTTAAATGACAAGTCCGCTTATTTGACATAAATTTATTTTCATAGGAATACCTCAGAAACAAAATCATGAACACACCACAATAGTATATTATAAACTGAAACATAATAGATCTTACTTGGATACAGTCATGATCCACAGTATTAACAAAGAATAAACAAAACCAAAATAAAAAATGTCTTCTTCAAACCACACAAAGGTAATGTTTTCTCAAATAATAAATTAATGTATTGGTATGCTCTAAGAAAATTTATAACAAAGAAAACTGACAATTCCCTCTTCAACAGTTCTTCCCTATCATATCTGCTGCCAAAAATATAAACAGATAAATAAAACTTACAAATCTTCCAAATCTACTGCTTAAAACTGGGGAAAACTGCAGGAAAACTCACATACACATATGTCGGAAAAGCACAGCTTGATCTGTGTCTATCTAAAGCCAGGAGGCCAGAGCCTTTCCTGAGTCTCCCTCGACTGCTTTCCCAGGCCATAAGCAGGGAGCTGGATGGGAAGCAGAGCTGCCGGGATTAGAACCGGCACTCATTCGATGGTTTTTTTTCTTTAGATTTATTTTTATTGGGAAGGAAGATATACAGAGAGGCAAGACGGAGAGAAAGATCTGCCATCTACTGTTTCACACCTTAAGTGGTCAAAATGGCTGGAGTTGACCAATCCAAAGCCTGGAACCAGGAGCTTTTTCCAGGTCTCTCACATGTGTGCAGGAGCCAAAGCTTTGGGCTATCCTCTACTGCTTTCCCAGACCACAAGCAGGGAGCTGGACAGGAAGTGGAGCAGCCGGGAAATGAACCAGTGTCCACATGTGATCCCAGCATGTTCAAGATGAGGATTTCAGCCACTGAGCCCTTGTGCTGGGTCCAGAATGGATGACTTCTGATTTAAGGATTATAAAAAAAAAGAACCTGAACATTTTGCTTACATGATTTTTCAGTAGAAGCAAACATGAAATTAGGGAATAAGAAATGTATATTTTAAAATAGTGATTGTAATTACTGGCATTATAGGATGAATGAAGCCAAACCTCATGACCAATAGGATTGCATGCATCCTGGTTTCCATGACTCAAAACAGACGAACTACTGTTAGACAAGGTGCAGTCAAAAAAGTAACTACCATAATCAGGACCATACTAGATGGATCAAAATTATTACTCTAGCAATGAATAAAGACTGAAAGAAGAAATGGCAAAGTTCCTTAATAGCTTAAATTATATAGATGAGACGAAGCATTATTTACTTGTTCATCAAATTCTAAAAGACTGGAGTTTTTGGAATTGAGCAATACGTTTACAAAATATTACTTATAACTTAAATCAAAGAGTTGCAAAGAAAGGGTGAGTGAGTCACACAGTCTGATATTCTAGCCAGAGCAGGGAGCACTATGGACGGGTTCCTTGAAAGACTTCATACAGACAAGGCCCTCATTACACATCCGTGAGCAATGTGAATGACTGTTCTTATTGTAACCACTAAAAACTGGAACTGTTCGCTACTATTCAACAAGAGATAAGTGGTATACTCCCTGTCTTTAAAGTAATCCCCAAATATAGAAAACTGAAAACACGAACTGTGGTTCTGATAAAATTCACATCAGTAAGTAAAGACCTAGACACATGGAAGAAAAGACATCAGAGAGCCTGCTGAGGACAATACAGAAAAGAAGCAACTGTAGACGAGGCTGGGGCAGGGCTGAAAACAAGAATGTGTAAGAAGTAAATGCATAAGCTCCAATTCCATTGAACACAGCTAGCCACAGTTAACTAGCAGTTCTGGGCTAAGGACATAGTTGTATTTGCTTTTGTGCTGGTATCCAAAGAGTGAAGACAAACTGTATTACGTGATCTTTATACATAGGAGCTCACTAAGTACTCTTTGGTAACCTGGCTTTAAATGTCAGCAATATACCTAAGCAAGAAACTGGAGGGATCACCATTACAGGCACTGAATAATCTCAAAGATCAACAGATACAGATATAAGGAGATTACTAATAAATAAGTCTATCTGTACAAAAGCCACGCCACTGGACGCAAGGAAGCCTCACCATCACTATACCTGCTGCCCCCCACCATGCTTCCAATTCAGCTTAAGTGCTTTGCTGTTTAATTTTTTTTTTAAGATTTATTTTTACTGAAACTGACATACACAGAGAGAAGGAGGGACAGAGAGGAAGATCTTCAGTTTGCTGATTCACTCCCCAAGTGGACACAACAACTAGGGCTGAGCCAATCTGAAGCCAGGAGCTTCTTCTGGGTCTCCATAAAGATGCAGGGTCCCAAGGCTTTGGGCTGTCCTTGACTGCTTTCCCAGGTCACAATCAGGGAGCTGGATGGGAAGCAGGGCTGCCAGGATACAAAGTGGCATTCATATTGGATCCTGGGCATGTGCAAGGCAAGGATTTTAACCACTAGGTTATCGTACCAGGCCTGTTTAATTTAATTTTTTAAAGATTTATTCATTTTTATTGGAAACACAGATTTACAGAGAAGGAGAGACAAAAGGAAAAGTCTTCCACCGCTGGTTTACACCCTAAGTATCTGTAACAACTGGAGATAAGCTGTTCTGAAACCAAGAACCACAAACCTCCTCTAGGTCTTCTACCTTGGTGCAGGGTCCCAAGAATTTGGGCCATCCTCCACTGCTTTCCTATGCCATAAGCAGGGAGCTGCTGGATGGGAAGTGGACCAGCTGGAACATGAACCAGTACTCATATGGGTTGTTAATGCTCGTAAGCAGAGGATTAGCCAAGTGAACTACTGTGCCAGCCCCATCTCACTGTTTGTTTAAATAAATGGCAGTCACTGCCTCTTCTGGGCACCCTTTTTTTTTTTTAAGGATTCATTTTATTTTTATTTGAAAGTCTGAGTTACGGACAGAGAGGAGAGACACAGCGAGAGTGATCCTCTGATATACTTCCCGAAGGGCTACAATTGCTGGAGCTGGGCCCGGCGAAGGTCAGGAACCTGAGACTTCTAAGTCTCCAAAAGTGAGTGTAAGACCCAAGGATTTGGGTCATAATCCATTACATTGCCCAGACCATCACCAGAGAGCTGGATCAGAAATGGGGCAGCTGGGACTTAACTGGTTCTAGACCAGCTGCTTTAGTTGAAATCCAGCTTTGTGATAGTGTGGGGAGGCAATGGAAGATGGTACAAGAAGTTGAGCAACAGTCACCAACATGAGAGACTCAGAAGCAGCTCTCGGTTCCTGGCTTTGGATTGGCCCTGCTCCAGCTGGTATGTTGATCTGGAGAGTGAGTCAGCAGTAGATCTCTGCTTTCTTCAGAGGACTATCTTCTCTCTGTAACTCTACCATTCAAATAAATTAATGATCCTTAATACCAACAACAACAACAACAACAACAACAACAACAACAACAACAAGAGGTCTCACATTTTCCATTTACTCACCTTTCCCTGAAAAGTTACTATAGAAAGTGTTCAAACAAAATAAAAATATAGTAATAAACAGGAATTGGGCCCATTGTGATGGCTCAATGGCTAAATTCTTGCTTTGCACATGCCAGGATCTCATATGGGCACTGGTTTGTGTCCCAGCTGCTCCACTTCCCACCCAGCTCCCTGCTTGTGGCCTGGGAAAGCAGCAGAGTATGGCCCAAAGCCTTGGGACCCTGCACCCGTGCAGGAGACCTGAAAGAAGCTCCCAGCTTCAGATCGGTACAGCGTTAGCTGTTACAGCCACTTGGCGAGTTAACCAGTGGATGGAAGATCTTTCTCTCTACCTTGCTTTCTCTCGGTAAATCTGCCTTTCCAATTAAAAAATTTATAAATATTTTAAAAGATTTATTTGTTCTTATAAATTAATTACAATTTTACCTTAATAAGAACAACTGCTTTTGGGATAAAGTATTATATTCCACCCCCTGCATTGCTCTTACTTGTGCAGTCTCTGCGTGTTCCAGCATCTCTTCAAACTCCTGATATTCTTCATCATCTGGTTCAGCTCCTGAGAGGCGAGCTGCCCTTGCCATGAAATACGGCGGTAACTCTCCGATTGCTGTGCCGATTCCCTAGATGAAAAAGGAAACCTACAGTGAGTCAGTTCTCAGCACAGAGATACTTAAAAGATCAATCTGTGCTTTTCTGTATCATCAAAAGCATTCAGTTATGTACTGGGGGGTGGGGTGTGGTGGGTGTGCAGCATATGCTACATATAAGAAAGGCATTGAAATCACGACACTGATTTCTGACACATAAGATACCTGGCAAGATAATACACATACAACTCTCACAAAAATTACTGACCTGTGATATTAAATTTAGTTTTCTAATCTCTCGTTACATTTTGCTATTTTTCTCTGACATTCCCCAAATGACTAAGTAATAAGAATTTCATTCATGGGGCTCGGCGAAATTACTTTAGCCAAATTGCTAAAGTCCTTGCCTTGCATGCACCAGGATCCTATATGGACACCAGTTCGTATCCTATCTACTCCACTTCCCCTCCAGTTCCCTGTTTGTGGCCTGGGAAAGCTGTAAAGGATGGCCCAAAGCCTTGGGATCCTGTACCCACATGGGAGACCTGGAAGAGGCTCTTGGCTCCAGGCTTCAGATGAGCTCAGCTCCAGCCGTGTGACCACTTGCAAAGTGAATCAGTGGATGGAAGATAGTTCTGTCTCTCCTTTTACCTGTACATTTGGCTTCCCCCCTCTAAAAAAAAAAAAAACCCCAAAAAACAATAAATCTTAAAAAAGAAAAAGAATTCCACTCAAGAATAGAGCTTATTAGTTTAAACCTTTAGAACTATTTAAGGGGGCAGGCATTGCAGCATACAAGGTTAGACCTCTAGCGGAGTGTCAGTCTAAGTTCTGGCTGCCCCACTGATTCAGGTTCCTATTGATGGCCTGGAAAAGTGGTGAAGCATAGTCTAAGTGTTGGGACCCTGCAGTCACATGGAGACCCTAAGAAATCTCCTGGGTCCTGGCTTTGGACTGGCTTACCACCAGTCATTGCAGCCATTTAGGAAGTGAACCAGTGAATGGAAGATTCTCCTTTGCTCTCTGTAATTCAGTCTTTCAAATAAAAATAGATGAGTCTTAAAGAACAAAAACAAAACTGTTTAACAATGTAGTCTAAATATACTAGATAAAGCTCTCTAGGAAGTCTTTTGACATTTTAGCATTTCAGAAACTGTTTTAGCCCCAATACTACTTTTTGTGTTGCGTTATAACTTTCAGCAAATTGTGGCCAGGAAACCCATCAAAAACTCAATATTAAGATGGATAAATTTCCACTACAGGAAAAATGTTTGTTTTCTCAGAACATTCCATGACTCATGTTTCAGTCACTTGGTAGATTTTTGTTTTTGAATACATTTTTTTTCCCAATCAACTTAGGACATAAGGAGGAAAACAAAGGTCAATGAACTGGGAACTTGACTTAGACTGGAAATGGTTTAAACACAGGGCAGGAAATAATGAAGCAGGGATATAGTCCCTAGGGAAATTCTCAACTTTGAACCATTCAGACTACCTAATCTACCCTGAGTCATGGCGAACAAAAAGTTTTGCTACTTCTCAAAATCAACCATAACCATTTCAATTTGCTCTGTCCCATGACTCTACTTGGAAATGTCAGGAAAAGAGTTCTCAAGGGATGTCATCAAATTCAAATACTTTGTGTTCACAAGTGGAATCAACAACCTCCAACAGGGCTGGCATTGTGGAGCAGTGGGGAAAGCTATCACCTGCAATAGTGGCAGCCTGTAAGTGTACCAGTTCTATTTTTCTTAAAATATTTATTTTTATTAGAAAGGGAGATTTACAGAGAAAAAGAGACATTTTCCACCTGCTGGTTTACTCCCCAAACAACCACAATGATTGGAGTTGGGTCAGTCCAAAGCCAGGAGTCAAGAGCTTCTTCCAGTTTTCCCACATGGTGCAGGGGCCCTAGGGCTTGAGCTGTCCTCCACTGCTTTCCCAGTCCATAAACAGGGAACTGGATGGGAAGTAGAGCAGCCAGGTCACAACCTGGTGCCAATATGGGAATGCTGGTGCGGCAGGAAGAGGCTTAGCCGACTGTGCCACAGTGCTAGGCTCACACAGGCATTTCTTTTTCCACAACTGTTTACGCCATCTGAGAAATAAATCAGCAGATAGAAGCTCTCCCCTCCCCTTCCTGTAACCTAACTTTCAAACAAAAGAATACTTTTATTTTTAAAAATGTATTTATTTTTATTGGAAAGTCAGATATACAGAGAGGAGGAGGAGACAGAGAGGAAGATCTTTTGTCCAGTGATTCACTCCGAAAGCGGCCGAAACAGCTGGAGTTGGGCCAACCCGAAACCAGGAGCCAGGAGCTTCCTCCAGGCCTCCCACATGTGTGCAGGGTCCCAAGGCTTTGAGCCCCCCTTGACTGCTTTCCCAGGTCCCAAGCAGGGAGCTGGATGGGAAGCAGGGCTGCCAGGTTTAGAACCAGCACCCATATGGGATCCCAGGCGTGCAAGGTGAGGACTTTAACCATTACACTATCGCGCTGGGCCCAAGAATACTTTCATTTTTAAAAGATACATTCATTTTTATTTGAAAGATTTGAGAGACAGAGAAGTGAAGAGAACGAGAGGTCTTCCATCTACTGGTTCATTCCCCAAATGGCCACAATGGCCAGTGCTAAGCTGATCTGCAGCTGGGATCTGAGCTTCTTCTGGGTCTCCCACCCAAGGACTCTCTGCGGCTTTCCTAGGCCATTAGCAGAGAGTTGAATTAGAATTGGAGCAGCCAGGACAGGAACTAATAGTATTATGGGATGATGATGCCACAGATAGAAGTTTAGCCAACTATCCCAGCTCCCGGCACCAGTTGTTGTCCCAGGTGCCCTACTTCTGATTTAGCTGCCTGCTACTGGCTTAGTAAAAGCAGTGGAAGACGGCTCAAGGGCTTGGGACCCTGCCATCCATGTCAGAGACTCAAATAAAGCTATTGGCTTCAGCCTGGCTCAGTTCTAGCTGTTGTGGCCAGCTGTAGGAATCTACCAGCAGATGGAAAACATTCTTCTCTCTCCTCCCCACGACGTCTCTGTAACTGACTTTCAAATCAATATTCAAAACAAAACAAAATCACTCCAATAGTGTATAACGAGCAACATTATCTGCAAGCAAAAGATAGTTTTGTAAATTAATGTATTTAAGTGTTCCATGAACAAATTAGGGCCAGCACTGTGGTATAGCAAGTTAAGCCTCTTCTTGTGATTCCAGCATCTTATATTGGAGTACTGGCTTGAGTCCCAACTGTTCTGCTTATAATTCAGATTCCTGCTAATGTGCCTGGAAAATCAGGAGAACAGAGCCCAAGAATTTGGACCTTTCTACCACATGGATGAGTTTCTGGCTCCTGCTGTGGTCTGGCCTTCACTTGGCCTTTGCAGCTATTTGGGAGTGAACCTAGTGATGGAAAATCTCTCTATGTTGCTCTTTTAAATGAGTAAATACATAAACAAATCTTTAGAGAAAAAGCCTACATTTCAGAAACAGAAAGAGAAGGGATGGAGGAAAACAGATGAAATTACAGAGTAATAAAATGTAAATTATGTACTGCTCAAGAAAGTTCAACTTTGGAGGATGCTAGAGGATGAACTTAATATTTTAGAAGTTGGTCTCTCCTATATGAACTAAATCTCAATATAATAAAAGTCATTAATGATGACAAATTCCTCTTTATAAAAAGTATTCTCATTAATAAGAAAAAATACGTAATTGGAAAAACTACTTCATAATCCCTAATAAAATAGACTCACATAATGATGGATCATCACTGGTGCTAGCAGAAAGACAACCAGATATCACTATGCTTCATAACAAAAATATTAAGCTACAAAGTGCTCTTCTGTTATGAGCAGACACTTCAGGCCTTGCAAGTTATTAATTTTCAGGAAAAATCAACTAGAATTTAATAATAAAAAAACCCTTTAGAAAGTAAGAAGCTCTATTTGATAAACCAGTTGCATTTGTATATAGATTTTACAAGAAAATTAACATATTCACAAAAATTTGAACATTAGGGTGGTGCAATGGTTCAACGTTTAAACCCTTGCCTTGCATACCCAGGATCCCATAGAGGTGCCAGTTCATGTCCCAGCTGCTCCACTTTCCTGCTTGTAGCCTGGGAAAGCAGTGGAGAATGCCTTGGGATCCTGCACCCATGTGGGAAACCTGGAGGAAATTCCTGCCTCCTAGCTCTGGATCAGCCCAGCTTAGCTGCTGTGGCCACTTGGGGAGACAATCAGCCGACAGAAGATCCTTGTCTCTCCTGTCCTCTGTAAATCTGCCTTTCCAACAAAAATAATATTAAAAAAAATTCTTAATTAAACAGCTACCTAGATATACACAGTTTACCGTTACTGATGATTATGTTTTAATTTTGTTCCAAGTTTTCCTATTATTAGCAAGAAATAAAAATAATGTGGTTTTAGTATTCTAATATACAAATAAAAGGAAACCACAGTTATCAAGGCAGGTCTCCCCAAACATAATTTATATATAGAATTTTTCAACTTTTTGAATGATGTATTGGAAAGGCAGATTACAGAGAGAGAACGAGAGGAAAACAGAGCTCTTCCCTCTGTTGGATTTCTTCCTAAAGGGCTGCTGTGGCTGGAGCTGGGCTGTGCTGAAGCCAGTAGTCTTGAACTTCATCTGGCTAGACCATGTGAGTGTAGGGGCCCAAGCACTTGGACTATCCTCCACCAATCTTCCAGGCCATAAGCAGAGAGCTAGATCAGAAATGGAGCAGCTGGGACATAAACCAGCAACTTTATAAAATATCAGCACTGCGTGTAGAGGCTTGGCTTGTTATGCCATGATGTCAGTCTCCTCCCACCATAGAAATTTAGTCAGTTAACTCTAACTAAATAGATAAGTGTCACAGATTCATAATTATTATAAAATAATTTTATAATTTTAGTACAATTCATTTATCTAAAACTTGTGAATAAAATACACAAGAAAGAAATCTGATGTTTGTTTATATACAAAACTAAATAAATATGACCATAATGGACTGGCTTCATCATTAAAAAAATTAAAGCAGAATTAAGAAGTCTTCTTTTCAAAACTTTATTTCATCATTTATTTGAAAGGCAGAGTATCAGCGAGAAAAAGACTGATTGATTGACTGATCTACCATCCACTGGTCCATATCCTAAATGCCCACAATAGTGGACTAGGCCAGCATGAAGCTAGGATCTTATTTAGGTTCATGTGGGTGACAGACACCCAAGTACTTGAGCCATCATCTGCTATGTCTCAAGAAGCATCTTAAGGCCCTACATGACAATACTCACTGCCTCCCCCTTACTATTTTGATATAATCCTTTAATGCATATTAAGTTTTCAAATGTTCAATTTATTTGTCTTTCTGTGGCCTTTGTCTTTTTGTCATATACATATGCAATCAATGCCAAAGTCAACATCATACAGATTTCTCCCTATTTCTTCCTCTGTCTCATAACTTTGGTTCTATTTAAGAATCATTGGGCCGGGGGGTGGGTGCGGGGGGGAGTAAGACACTCTATCAGTAAAGAAAGCTAACTGACAGCATGGGAGAAGTCAGGCCAAAAAGAATCTATAGATGATATGTACCAGGGGAATTTTGAAAGAACTAAAGTACAATATTACAAAAAATAGTCCTTTTTCTAGTATGTTCCAAGTAATAGTTTTCATCAAAAACCTGATGTCAATTTATAGAACATATGCAGCTAGTATAATGACTTTGTTCCTAGTGTTAATAAAAGAGCAACAGGAAACATGACAGTTTTTCCTGTCTTTCATAGCCCACAAATTTAACGTATGGCATTTCCTTTACAATTCTTTTAAAGCAGAACATAATTGCTAACACTTAATTGTGATTCAAAACTTTGTCTCCTCTGTTGCTTGGTATTCATGATGGCTTAAAATTTTTAAGTGAACTGTTCCGTATTATTTTATTTTCTAAAAATTTCTAGAGAAAAAAACATGACCAAAACATAATAAATCAAAATGATGAGTTAAAAAAGTAAGTTGTAAACAGAAGACTCCTTAGTAGCTCACTGTAGAGTATCTGAATGAGTTTAGGCACACAGCAAACAAATACATAAACCAAAAGACCAAAATATACCAGATACTGGACACGCTGTCCAAAAAGTTTTTTATTATATTAAAAACCACTGATACAACTGAAAACTGTACATATCAATCATCATATACAATCATATACTATGATATCTCTAACATAATGAAGTTGATTTATACTAAGAAATGTCTGACCTTACTTTAACATTTTAATCAATTAGAAAATGAGTCCTTAAGGAATAAAAACAGTATTTACTGATAGCACTATTCTAATATAGGAGTGAAACGCACTCTATTTACTAAACTACTCATATTCATATATATTCATATATAACCACTTGCTAAGTATTTATCAGTACACAAGCCCTAGAACAAATCTTACAATACATCTCATCTCCTTATCTAAATTAGTTTTCTCTATTGTTTACTTGGCTGTAGTAGCTCTGTTAAATATATATAGCTTTACATATTCCGTATGAATGTCACTCACAAACAGTTCTTAAAGATTCCTTTTGCTTTGGAATAGGAACTTCATGTACCTACTTCATGAATCATTTAGGAACTAGTAACATGTTAAGATTACATCTCATTAAAGTGTCTCATATTGTCATGATGCTATTTAGTTTCAGACAAAGATAAAAATGCACATCTTACCCACATGCAGGCCTCAATCCTAACTTTTGAGATGATACTCCACAAAGAAATTGTTCCTTCAATGTTCTCTTTATCTGGACAAATAATCTGGTCAGGATAGGGTGGCTCAGGGAAATCAACGGAGTTGCATTCATAAGCAGCTAATGTAACCGAAGCTATATGTGGACCCTGTAAAACAAACATAAGTAATCAATCACAGAATAGAACTATTGTTGAGAAAAAGAATTATCAATACCCATTGTATTTTAAAAATACATCAGTTACAACATAGCCAAGAAGAACTAGCTTTCAGAAATCAGTATTCTGTCTAAATAAGACATTTCAAAATGCAGACAATGTTTTATAAAACCTTTCCCAGAATGTTGCCCGACTTTGATTTTTTGAAAGAAGATTCAAGGCCTGATCTGGTAGCCTAGTGGCTAGGATCCTTGCCCTGCATGTGCCATGATACCATGTGGGCACTGGTTCATTTCCCAGCTGCTCCACTTTCCATCCAGCTCCCTGCCTGTGGCCTGAGAAAACAGCAGAGGATGATCCAAAGCCTTGGGACCCTGCACCCACATGGGAAACCTGGAGGAAGCTCCTGGCTCCTGGTTTCAGATCCAGCCACTGTGGCCACCTGGGGAGTGGCCGTGAATGGAAGATCTTTCTGCTTCTATCTCTCCTCTCTCTGTGGATCTTTCTAATGAAAATAAGTCTTTTTTTGAAATATGTTAAGTAAGTGCAAAGTTACTTACTTAATTACAAAGTTTTTATCTGGACCAAAAATCTATTAATTAGTGTTTATTCCTCTTTTTCTTGGATTTTAATTCTTACAATTATAAAAGTGTTAAACTTTAAAATTTCTGTTCTCTGGCTCTCCCTCTTTCTGTAACTCTACCTTTCAAATGAAGGGGTGAGTCTTTTTAAAAAATAATTACACACAATTTTCAAAAGAATCTTTTTGATTATGCAAGTTGTTCAAAAGCTATAGTTAAACATTATATCTACAATAATTGCATACTAAATGGGCAAATGAATTTCCACAGTAACATGATTATTCTCTGACTCTACAAAAAGCAAAAAGAAGAAATTGAGGATAAAGTTCCCAGTATTCAGAAAAACTGCTTAATTGGTAAAAAAAAAAAAAAAAAAAAAAAAACACAACTCAGTGAACAATCACAGGTGACTTTTAGAAGCAATTTTAAAAACAAGATGCAACTTTTGAGGTGATGTTAGAAAACACCAAAGAGACATAAAGTACAATGGGTTAAAAGAAGAAAATTTTAAAATCTGTCCATGTCGCCCCTGTATGTGCTTTCTTAGGTTATTAGTCTCCAGCCAAACTCTAGAAATGAATTATAAATGAAGTGTCCTGGATGCTCAAACAGCAAGATTTCTGGACTATACAGCAAAACATTTTGATTTGAGAAATAAAAGAAAAATGTGCCCTAGTAGATTAAACATATTATCCAGTAAAATTAGACTTCACAGTTTTTTAACAGTGATTCTAAAGGGGAACTTTTCAACCATCTTGATTTTTTCCCCTTAAAAAAAAAAAAAGAACATTCATTCAACTAAACTGATACTTTCCATAACCACACTAATAAGTCATCATTACTCAGGCTCAAAAGCAGATGTGATGGTTCCCAGACAAATGAACATTAAGAACTGAGTTTTGTCCTTTGTTCATTCTCAAGAGGCTGTTTAGTCTATACCTTGACATTTTAGTTTAAACTGTATTGACTGATATGAAAGCTCTTAAGTCTTTTCTACAGTTTAATGATTCCTAAACAGAACTAATTTTGAACAAAGGAAAAAATTTTATTAAAAACCATCCAAAAAGCTAAACAATTTTGATTTAAAAACTTTCAATAGAAACAAAGACAATCTTACAAGTGCATTTTGTTAAAATTACAAGTCCTACTATAATGTATAAAAAAGAGCCACCTTTTCCCCCTATGTTATAAAAAGAAACCAAAAGGGTAAAAGCACAAATAATTATAATGGAACTAGAAAAGCCAAGCTGAATAGAAGCACCACAAAATATTAAGTGAACATGTGTATCGAGCCACGTTTCTAACTCTAATGACAGCAGGGCTAGGGGCCCTACCCAGTATCTTTTTATTTATTTATTTTTCTTTCCTTAGAGCAGCAAGTAATCTATATTGTAGTTCTACTACAACAACACTACAACTAAAAAGCTGGAAAATAATTTCTGGAAAAATTCTTTTCAAACATAACACGGCAATACTGGATTTCTGAGAGAAGGGGAAAAAATAAGGAGATCTGATGATGACTGGCTTTTTGTCTACAGACACATTCATTGTATTGGCCTGTGAAAGACAGGAAGAAAGAAAAAGTAAAAGCAAAGAGAAAGAAAAAAAGAAGAAATAAAAAAAAGAAAATGAAAAATGAATGAAAGCAAAAGAAAGGAAAAGGAAAGAAAGGGAAAAGGAAACAGAAGGGGAAGAAAAAAGATAATCATAGGTCCAAAAAGAAAAGAGATTTTGGGTTCAAGCAGCTAAGGGACTTGGAATTGATCAGAGGAAATGAGCTGCACAGAAAAAGAACTCCACAAGTCTGCAAGGGTCAGCTTGAGACCTTGGCCTGCGCAGCTATAATGAATGCTAAGTTGTCACTCCATGAAGCCAGGAAAATACTAAGTAATGGTTTAACCCCCTCGCACCCCAAAATTGCTAGGCATTTCAGTTCTTCAGGTTCACAAAGGACTAGAATCATCTGTGTTCAACCAGCTAGGGTGGAGAGGCTGAGCATTCAAGAAGAACCCAGAAAGATCATGACTCAGCAGGACTTAACCAGCCTTTGTGTAAAAGCTACTCTTCATTGGCCTTAACAACACGTAAAACAAGCCTTATTCAGATCAGTATGATCCAAATAATTGGCTACCAAAATAAAACCCAAAAAAATTAGTGCTTTTTAAGAAAAGACTAACTTCGGGCCCAACAGCGTGGCCTAGTGGCTAAAGTCCTCGCCTTGACCATGCCAGGATCCCATATGGGTGCTGGTTCTAATCCCGGCAGCTCCACTTCCCATCCAGCTCCCTGCCTGTGGCCTGGGAAAGCAGTCGAGGACAACCCAAAGCTTTGAGACCCTGCAAAGATACCCGGAAGAAGTTCCTGGCTCCTGGCTTCGGATTGGCGCAGCACCGGCCGTTGCAACTCACTTAGGGAGTGAATCATTGGACGGAAGATCTTCCTCTCTGTCTCTCCTCCTCTTTGTATAACTGAGTTTCCAATAAATAAATAAATCTTAAAAAAAATTAACTAAGAAAAGATTAACCTCAACACATTTAAAAGGATATGGCATGTAACAAGATAAAGATGATTACAGAGTATCTTCTAGAGAAAAATAGCAAAGGAAGGGTTTTCCTTTTTCATTTTTGGGAATTTTACTATAGCCATTGCAAATCCACATGATACTTTGGCTATTTGTAACATACATTTATCTGCATTTGTCTCATCTCAGTGTCTCATATGTCTAGTTTCATGAACGTTATTACACTGTATTTTGCAAAGCTTAATAATGGATTTTTAAAGTTTTATTTATTTTTATTGGAAAGGCAGACAGACAAGGAAAGACAAAGAGAAAAATCTTCCACCCACTGGTTCACTCTTCAAGTGGCCACAACTGCTGGAGCTAAGCTGACCTGAATCAGAAGCCTGGAGCCTCTTCCAGGTCTTCCAGGTGGGTGCAGGGTCCCAAGGCTTTGGGCTATCTTTCACTGTTTTCCCAGACTACAGTGAGGGAGGTGGATGGGAAGCAGAGCAGCTGGGACATAAACTACTGTCCATGTGGGATCCTGGTGCTATCAAGGCATGGACTTTGGCCAGTAAGCTGCCACGCCAGGCCCTAATGGATTTTTTAAAATACTTTTTTAGGGGGCCAGTGCCATGGTGTAGCTTATTAGGCTTCCACCTGTGGTGTCAGCCATACGAGTGCCAATTTGAGTTCTGGGTGCTTCATGTCTGATCTAGCTTCCTGCTTGTGACTGGGGGACATGGTGGAGAATCACCTAATATCTTGGGATATTGCATACACACGCAGGAGACCTGGAAGATGTGTCTAGCTCCTGGCTTTGGACCAGTATAGATTTGGTGGCTTCTGTTATCTGGGGAATTAATCAGAGGATGGACGATCTATCTCACTATATCTTTCCCTCTGTAACTCTACCTTTCAAATAAATTTTAAGATATTTATTTAGAGGCCATTGTCGGTTTATAGCACTTTAAGGCACCACCTGCAGCTTTGGCAATCCCATATGGGTGCCAGTTCAAGTGCCAGCTGCTCTACTTTCACTCCAGCTCCCTGATAATATACCTGAGAAAGCAGCAGATAATGGGCCAATTCCTTAGGCCCCTCACCCATGTGGAACACCCGGAAGAAAATCCTGGCTTCTGCTTTTGGCCTGGCCCAGTCCTTGCCATAGCAGTCATTTGGGGAATAAGCCAGAAGATAAAAAGATCTCTATCTTGCTCTCTCTTTAATTCTGCCTTTCAAATAAATAAATACATTGTTCAGACTTATTTTTATTTATTTGAAAAGCAGTTACACAAACACTGTGTGACACAGAAACCTTCCAACCATTGTCCTCCCTAGATGGTCCAGTCATTGTTGGGCTAGCCCAAAGCCAGGAACTTTTTCTGAGTTTCTAGATGGGTGAACGGAGCAATGCACTTGGGACACCTCTCACTGCTCTCCCAGGCACCTTTATAAGGAGGCAAGGAGCTGGATAACAACCAGAGCAACAGGCACTTGAAGTGGTACCCATATGGGAAGCCAGATTTGCAGGTAGTGGCTTAACCTGCTTGGTCACAATGGCAGCACCATAATGGAATCATTTTTATCTTATTCAGGTAAGAGACACGATATTTGACAAAAAAAAAAAAAAAAAGAAAGAAAGAAAGAAAGAAAAGAAGAAGAACAAAAGAAAAAGTATGTCTGAATGACAGCAAATCATAGTAGGATCAAAGGATAAGTTTGAGTAACACAGATTTTTCCATTGACTGATCTATGACTCAACTATTCAAATAAATGACTCTTTTTTTTAAAAAAAATTAAGATATACATCTACTATTGTTAGGAAACTGATTGTAAAGCTGTTTCTTACTGAGACATCTTTCAAAAAAATGAAAAATCTAAAATGGCCACTACCAATTAGGAGCCGA